CTTGATGCAACAGTGAACAAGTTGAGTTCTTTTTGTGATTTTTGGTTTGGGTTTTTGCAGGGAATGGAGAGCAAAGTGCCACCCGGGAGTTTCTTCCATTTTTCTCCGGCTGTTGTTCTTCAGGACCCGGTCCACAGGTCTTCGCCGCCTCTCACAGATCGTGAAAGGTGAAACTGAAATCTCTTTTTGTTGTTTCTGTGCATTTTTTTGATATTATTTGATTGTGTATTCGCCCACAGTGCTTGGATAGTTCATTTGGGCATTTTTTGAATCCATGAATTTGCTGTTTTTTTTTTTTTTTTTTTTTTTTTTCACTCTAGCTCACTCTTCCTTCCTTTTAGTTTGTGTTCCAAAATTCATTCTTGTTGAAATCTTGTAGGGTCTGAATCTAGAAATTAACATTCATAATGTCTCAATTAGGCTAATTACTTGTTACATCAGAGAGATTCATGGGTTTGGCATAATTGCAGAAAGACTTTAGGGATATAAATTCGGAGGATTGATTTGATAATATGATATTCAGTTTTATGGATTACAGAAACGTTTAGAGTTTTAAGCATAGCAGAGAAGTTCCCTAATTGAAATGTTGATCTTTAGTATCATTAACTCCCTCTCTTTATCTCTCGATCTGTTTGTGGACATATCTATATGTTCATTCTTGCTCTTTATCTGTTGCACTTTTTGCCGGATTCTAGTGACTGGTTTCTTCAAACGACAGGTATTTGACGGAGTTATTGGCGGAGAGGAATAAGTTGGGACCATTCATGCGAGTACTTCCCACGTGCAACAGGCTTCTTAATCAAGGTTGTTTGTATGTTCTTACCACTAGAGATTAGTTGTTGCATATGATAGTTCTTTGTTGCCCCATACTATTCTGAACTATACCGATGCACATTCCATTTGCTCACAATTTGATCATTGAAAAGCAAAAAAGGCAGATTTTTATTTGAACCCTAGTGACCTGAAAGATCTTTCATTACCTTGGGATGCATATCTTGACGCAAGATTGGAATGAATTACAAACAAACCTGTATCATTCCTTTAATCATAAGGTGAAACGATTACAAATAGGATCGATGGAATGGTACAACATTCCTTATAGTCAGACATAAAAACAACTTTCCTAGCAATGCTACAGAGAACTTGAGTCGCAGATTGTTTCACAAATTTGAAGCAAAATTCGTTAGAGGAACCTAACACTTCTTTAGTATCGTTGATGAATTGATCAAACGTAGTCAAAATTGACTTTGGTTGAAAAGTCTTGCACATCACCCGAGTATCTATTTTCATTCTTCCGTCCATTGACAATATGTCCATCGAGCTGAACTGCAGATGCTATTTTTCATTGTCATCTTTGTCACACTGCAAATGAAAGTCAAGTGTCTTCCTAATTACTTATCAAAGTAACAAAATGCCATCCTTATTCTTCTTCATTATCTCATATCATGGAAGTTTTATCACCTATTACATTTAAGAGTGTCATTAGTTTACTTTTTGTTCTACTTGTTTATTGGATTTCAAATTGATGCATGACTGTTTGTTTTTAGCACGTACATGTTCAGAAGGAACTTGATAGGAGTTGTTGTTGCTTCTTCTAACTGGCGTATTGTTTTTTTGGTCAACCCATGGGGTATCCTGAGCTAACTGTAGGAGGCACCTTTAAGCCTGTACTATACTCAGACTAATCCCCATTCGCACCGATCCGGCCCAATTAAGGGGCAAAGTGCTGGCCAGATTAGTTTTTTCATACAAGAGGGGGTTTGAACTCCTGATCTCTCTTAAGGGATGAGAGTGCACGGCCACTCACGCCAACAAAGTTGGTTAACTGGCGTATTGTTAAATCTTTTAAAGAGTCCTTTGGTCACAACAGGGTGTATTGGTGGTCCTTTTCTTTGACATATTTGATTAACCTACTTCGTTGTCTCTTTATTTGTTGACAGAAATAATGCATGTTCTGGGATTGTTATCCAACCAAATTGCAGATCACGAAAGAATAGGACATGATAATTTGAATAGGTCCTTTGGGCAACACCTCAATGGAGTGCTAGTAAACGTGGATGCATGGAATGCTTCCATACAACTAGAGGTACGATTCGATGTTTTTGTTGGGCCATACTTATCGTGTTTGATAGTGATCTGGACTCCACTGAAAGAGTCGAGAGACTACTTGAATTGTTAACAATTTGCTTGATCTAGCAAATTTGTTAAAATCCCTTAATATACTTATTCGGTTATTCGATTGCTGCAATCTTCTCGTTCTCTTTAAGTAAGAACTTGCTCACATTTGAACGGGTGATTCATTTACATCCCGGTTTTGCTTCAGGAAAACAAACTTCTTCAGAAAATGGCCACGTTTCACCCCACACCTTTGGATTGGGCTGTGCCACCCGGCACCACAACTACTATAGTGAAGCGAGTAATCAGACTGGATGTTCCTGTGGAGAAATTCCCGAATGTATTTGCATATCTATCTATTTTTTACCTTGAATTTTACAAAAAAAAAAACAATAAATTCTTACCACAAAAAGTAAAAAAACTATGCAGTATAATTTTGTTGGCCGAATTCTTGGACCACGTGGAAACTCCCTAAAAAGGGTTGAGGCCATGACAGAATGCAGAATATACATTAGAGGCAGGGGCTCAGTAAAGGATTCAATCAAGGTATTGGCCGCTTTTATTCCTAATGCTATGGTGCAATGCTATAGTATAATGTTTTTTTTTTTTTTTTTTTTTGGTCACGTTTATATGATTCCCTATCTCTATTCCTCTACACAAACATGTAAAACGGTGTAAGAATTGATTTATTTAGATTTTTATTCAGTAGGTTGCTTGATGTCTTCATGTCATTAGTTGTACTTTATACTCATACTGGATTGGATTTCTTCGTTTTCTTTAGGAGGAGAAACTAAAAGATAAAACTGGGTACGAACACCTTCAAGAACCACTACACATCCTCGTGGAGGCAGAATTTCCCGAGGATATCATAAATACCCGCATAGATTATGCAGTGAAAATCCTGGAAGACCTTCTAAAGCCTGTGGTACGAGTATAGGAGTAATATTTATCTGTGTATTTGACTGAAGGTTTTTTTTTTTTTTTTTTTGGGTCAAACCACGAGGTGTCCTGAGCAGACCCTAACTATAGGAGGCACCTTTAAGCCCTTACCATACTCAGACTAATCCCCGGCCCGGCCTGGCCCAATTAAGGGTCAAAGTGCTGGCCAAATTGATTTTTCCATACGAGAGGGGGTTCGAACTCCCGACCTCTCTTAAGGGACGAGAGTGCACGGCCACTCACACCAACCGAGCTAGTTACTTGACTAAAGCTTATTAACTGCACTTTCTCGTCTTGTCATCAGGATGAACCTATGGATCAGTATAAGAAACAACAGCTAAGGGAACTCGCCATGCTCAACGGAACACTAAGAGAAGAGAGCCCGAGCATGAGTCCAAGCATGAGCCCGAGCATGTCTCCATTTAAAGCAACAGCAATAAAACGAGCCAAGACAGGAATGTAACGGGTAACTTCTTGTATTCATGACAGCGGGGGTCTTCTCATTGCTGGCACCCGGAGTTCCTTCTAGCTCTCACATCTTCAGCTCATTCCGGCTGGTTATGCAATCCGTCCTCAAGTTTGAATTCAGCAAACAATGTCAGGAGCACAGACGGGCAGGTCTATTAGACAGGGAAAAATGGTATTTTGCATTGGTCTTCGATTAGATTTTGGGTGCAAGTTCAATTGTTCAATATCAAGTAGCAATAATCGAATTCTCGTTTTTAATCAGTTTTGTGTAGTAGATAGTTGGAACTGCAGCACTGACTTTTGTGTTACTCACCTGAAAAGACTTAATAGGAAATTTGACATGATAAGCTTGATGGACTCATGTACTGCTACCATCTACCAATTCAATGTGAAGATTTAGTTCTCTTAACCATTCATTGCCATTTTGTATTTCATCCATGGGCATGTTAAAATTTGAAACTCATTCTACATAACTTTGGGGGGATGCAAGGAGTTTTTTCTACTTTTGGTTATACAACTATTGGATCATTTTTACATTTGGTCCCCCTGACTTTTAGAACTTTTGTCACATTTGGTCCTCCGACTTGATTTCCTATCATCGATGACCAACTTTATCTTTCAAGATAAGTCACTTAATTATTTATGTACTCATGTTCAATAACATAAAGATACAAATTTGGTCATCGATGACCAAAAATTAGACCGAAGGGCCAAATGTTTCGTGTGGCTAAATGTGGAAATATTAATAGTCAAAGACCAAATGTTGAAATGGTCCAATAGTCATAGGACTCAAAGTGTCAGGGTCAATCAGCTTGGTTGGCGTGAGTGGTCGTGTACTCTCATCCTTTAAGACAGGTCGAGAGTTCGAACCCCCTCTCGTATGGAAAAACTAATCTGGCCAACACTTTACCCTTTAGTTGGGCCGTGCCGGTGCGAATGAGGATTAATCTGAGTATGGTACGGATTTAAAGATGTCACCTATAATTAGGATATGCTCAAAACACCTTATGACCTGACCAAAAAAAGTGTCAGGGCCCAAATATTGAAATGGAACAATAGTAAAAAAAAAAAAAAAAAAAAAAAAAAAAAAAAAAAAAAAAAACACCATTGCATAAGTTGTTTTTTACTTCCAATGTATTGAACATCCTCTGAAGTTAGATACAGAAGACTTAAATCTACATGTTTAGTTCACAAGATAGGTTTAAAATGAATCATGAAAATAAGCTTATTCTAACATACTCCTGATTCTCGAGACATTTTTTGTATATTCCATTGAATTAGATTCTTATTCTCTCAAAATTCAATCCGTAAACCAAACGCATTGTTTGTGACGAACATTTCTCCCCAAAAATTTATCATTCTGGGCTAGAAGGCTATCAACACTAGTACACTGCTTGCTCAAAGCTGCATCACAATCATATGTTATAGGAGCAGTGATATGAACAAAGCAACAAATTGCAACATAGGGCCAAGCAATGATGAAAGTAAACACTATAACTATTCATGATATTTGCAAGAAACAATCTATTGTCTATTCAGTACATGTTTTCAGTTTCTATTCATCACAGCGGAACAAGAAAGGTTTCCGCGGGAGCTCCTATTAAGATGAGATGTTAAGACGATGTTATACGTATGAATCTCCTCTATATGCATTTGCGACACTGATTTATGCTTACGAAAAAGGATTAAATTGATCAAAAACTGTACAAGAACGTTCCTGCAGTGTTTAAACGAAAGTTTTCCCGACCAAATAAACAAATTTTTTTTACCCTTTGTTGATCCCGAGCTCCATTCTTGATTCTCTGAACACCGGTGGTGGTGCTATCTTTTCTCCCTGCTCGATTCCTCGTTTTAACGTTAAGGGATATGGTGAAAACTGAAAAACTGCTGCCATGTGTCGTCTCGGAAGAATCACCGGCCTGTACCCACGTACTGCAGGAGAGATGTGGTTTGCCCGCCATGATCATTATGGTATGCTTTCTTCACCTTAGCGTTATTGAGATGATGAGCTTTGCGGACAGCGTGTTGGATTTGTTTCTCATGGTCTTTAAGGATTTCTTCTATGCTTCCCCCGGGTGGAAACAACGGCCCCGAGTAGTGCATTCTAGCATTTTTCTGTGGTGAGGATTAAATCAAAGGATTAGCGGGCGAGCCTTTGTATAGCAACTGTGATCGTAGATTAGATCCTTACCATTGTGTGGTCCTTTTTAGACGGCTGCTGATCCTTTTTGAACGAGTGATTTGGTATCCTGAGCAAAGAATGAGACGACTCTGGGTCGTTTATCGAGTTAAATTTTCGGTCAAATTGCTTTTCGGGCCAGTGTGATTGGTGGCAGCCGTCTCTGATAAGGTCAAATCTTGAACTACCACTGGCGGCCATTGAATTCGAGAATCTGGATAGCTCGGCCCGGGGTTGGAAGGATCTGTGCGGTCTCAGCTCTGGACCGTGGCCCGAAGAACTAACCTCATTATTCCATCCTCCATGAACCGCTAAATGACCATTATATACCGCTCCTCTAGACGCCACACCCGGGAAAACAGAACCACCATTCTCTGCCGGATCAAATTGCTCACTGATGCTCTTGGCGTTTGAAAGCCCTCGCCACTTCTAAATATCATCATTCAACGTAAATTTAATACGTATCCTAAGATCACTTGAAAATCGGATATATTTGTAGACGGAAATTGCAGGCACACACATATGAAACAGAAAATACCTGTATGGATGCTTGCAACTCAGCGTTAGCATCAGGTGCTGGCACAGCTTTAGACACTTTCGTTTCCCTATTAACACCGCCTTTTTGCCTGGCATTAAAATAAATGATTAGCGAGTCATAAGGTTTTGACAAGAAAATAAGACGCCATGCTTCAATCATAATGTTTTTGTTACAAACTAAGAGAGCTAAGGTCGCTCAACTGGGCTATAATGCACATGGGCCAAACCCCACTACAAGATTGAATCCAACCAATTAGCTAGTCTAACACATGACCTTATAAATCCATATGTTCTCTCTTATTTTATTGGGACTTTAACACTCCCCCAAGTGGACAACCAGGCCATTATAAATCTAACCGGTTAACCACCAAACCAAAGTGGACTGAACAAGCGGGTTTACGAAAGCTTGGACGACACCAATACCCATAATTGGACCGAGCAAGCTCTGATACCATGTTACAAACTAAGATTGGTTTAAGGTCACTCAACTGGGCTATAATGCACATGTCAAACCACACTAAAAGATTGAATCCAACCAATTAGCTACTCTAACACATGACCTTATAAACTCATATGTTCTCTCATATTTTATGAAAGTGAGACTCTTAAATTCAACAAAGCGGATAGTAGTTTTGTTGCAGACAAAAAATCCACACAAATAAATCTAGATGACCGAAAAAGCACATGGTTGTAATGGGATAGATTTAGTCGTAAATAACGGATCAGGGATCACATCTTGTAGTAAAGCATCTTATAGATACAAGATTAGGCAGAGAGAAAAAATAATAATAATAATAGAAAAGAAATTAAAGAAAAAATATATTTACTTTCTCGCTTCCTCTTCTCGCATTTTGATATCGAATTCCTTGGTTGGTGAGTACTTAGGCAAACAAGATGGATCGGATGGAAGAGGCTGTGTTGTGAAGAACTGAAAAAAGGAAAACCAAAGTGAAACTCAAAGAAAGTACATATGGACGTCGTGTTTACTTTTCAAAGTAGCTAGAGAGATAGGATAGCGGGAGAGACGAAATATGTGTAACGTGAAATAAATCCAATAGCCATTTCGAGCATATTGGATGGTAGCGGGTTAGAAATTGCAAAAAGGCGGAGTTTCCAAACACATAACGTTACTTCAGATCAAGAATTCTAGAAATCCTAAAGAAAATTGTTTTGATCAAAGATCTTAGGAACACAAAATGGAGAGCGATAAAGAAAAACAGAGTAAAAGATTGATACTCAGAGGAACAAAACTTTACCTCACTTTGAAGTGCTGAAGATGCAGATCCCCGGCACTCGGGTTCAAAAGCCAGGAGGGAATCCAGAATCGATAATGCTGATGGTGGGAAGTCCTTGAATGTCTCGGCAAAACAGCGTTTGTAAGGGTGTTGAGGTTTAAAAATGGTTGCATGTGGCAATTTTGATTTTGTCCAGTACTCATCGGACGGTGAACCGCAAAGTTTAAAGATTTTATGTAGCTGTTCAACCTGCAAAAAAAAATGCAAGGATACCAGTAAGTGAGCCAATTAGTTTAAACCAATAAATATAACAAATTGACAATTGCCAAACAAAACATGGAAACTATAATCTCAGTTACACCAAACAAAACACGGAAACTATAATCTTAGTTACACCAAACAAAACACGGAAAAACCAGCTTGGTTGGCGTGAGTGGCCGTGCACTCTCATCCCTTAAGAGAGGTCGGGAGTTCAAACTCATTCTTGTATGGAAGAACCAATCTAGCCAGCACTTTGCCCCTTAATTGGGCCGGCCTGGTGCGAACGGGAGTCTCAGTATGGTATGGGCTTAAAGGTGTCTTCTATTGTTAAGGCCTGCTCAGGACACCTTGTGGTCTGACCAAAAAAACAAAAGCCCCTTAATTGGGCCGGCCCGGTGCGAACAGGAGTGTGAGTATGGTACGGGCTTAAAGGTGCCTCCTACCATTAGGGCCTACTCAGGAGACCTCGTGATCTGACCAAAAAAACAGAACACGGAAACTAGACACGTACCTCAGTTCTTCCCGGCATGATAGGTTTTCCTGCAAACAATTCGGCAATGATGCAACCAGAACTCCACAAATCTACGGCTACTCCATAGTTTGTAGCGCCAAGCAAAAGCTCCGGTGGTCGATACCACAACGTGACTACACGACTTGTCAGTGGCTGATTGGAGCGGACAGAGGTTGCAAGTCCGAAATCAGCTATCTTTAGATTTCCGTTGTTGTCAATTAGAAGGTTTGCACCTTTGATGTCACGGTGCAAAACCCCCCGACCATGACAGTGTTCAAGTCCACGAAACAGTTGTTGCATATAACACTTTATCTACACATCACATCAAAATCTACTTAATTACGGATTTCCGGACAAGAAAATAAATTTCACGAAATGATGATATTGAATGAATACCTGTGACTCAGTAAACCTGACATTCGTCGATGCAACGAGACCTGCAAGATCATGCTCCATATATTCAAATATAAGATATAAATGTCCCGAAACCCGAGAAGTCATAAGACCTTCAAGCTTCATCACATTTGGGTGATCCAACCTACGGAGTATAACGATTTCTCTCGCCATAAAACGAACACTTTCTGGATCCATGTTTGCAAACCGCACTTTCTTTAAGGCAACTAGTTTTTTATTTTCAAGGTCTCGGCCTCTGTACACACTGCTATATGTCCCTTGACCAATCTACATCATGTTCATAGCAAAGAAAATAACTAAGACAACAATCACATATTTATCTCGATATTATACAAAATACATATGAATTACCATCCCAAAAAACCATTTGTTCCTTTTTTTTTTTAGTACTACTAACTCTGTTACAATGTAGTATCTGTTCATATAACTACTTTCTCGAACCTACTGAAGCACAAAAGTCAATATGGCCCCGGGCTCGAACCCATGACCTTCCATATGGGAGAGCCACTTCGTGCCACTAGACCAAAGGTCATTGACTTATTTAATTATATAATCATACCCTTAGCAACTAAATGGAATAGCTTGTTAACCCGAAAAACCAAGAATACATAAACAGATATGAAGAATTATAGTAACAAAGTCATCAAACGCAGAGAAAAGTGAGTGTTGGAATTGGAAAAGACCTTTTCTAACTTCTCGAACGAATCCGCCTTTCGAGGAATCCACCCTTTAATAGCTTCCCCGGCCACATCAGTTAGCCACGATGGCCACCCGGCGACGACCTGAGCACCATCAACTCCATTCCTCACACTGAACACACTGTTCAACTGAGGCTGCACCCTGCCCCCGCCCCCGGGGGCACTGCCAGCAGCATCAGTTGCGGGCCGAATTTGAACCTGAGGCACAACAGCCTTCTCGGAAACCTGCTCGCCCCCTTCATCCCAACCAGCGGGGGGCGAGGAGCCTGCACTTTTCTCTAAAGACTCTATGGAGATAAGCCTAGTAGTGACCTCATTAGTGCCACTATCAATCCCCACACCCAGATCATCCTTTCGATAGGACGCCACGGAACGTTTCGATGAATGTTTCTTTGATTCTTTCTCCTTCAATTTTCCATGCTTCTCTGGTAGCTTTTTCCTGGGAGATACCCCCTTTGAGCACATGCAGCCCATGATTTCTAGGCTAAAACCTAATCTAACTTTTCCCCCCTTCAGCATTAAGCTCTATTCCAACCGGCATTTCTATCCTAATCCTTGGATCAAAACACGAATCTTTTATCTATCCCTAATCAATCAATATACCTTAAAATCTGGCGTTCTCTATTCCAACCGGCATTTCTATTCTATCCTAATCCTCGGATCAAAAACCGAATCTTTAATCTATTCCTAATCAAATCAAATATACCTTAGAATCAACATGAATCCATTCCTAAAACACTCACACTCAACCCAATCAAACACTTGCTCAAATAAACGCCATCGGGCTTCAAACTGGAAATGCGGCCAAAAGAATTGGCACCCACCCGACGATCCAGACGCGAAAATCTTGGATCAAACTCAGTTCAAGCAGCCCACATTGCCCGAAAATCAAGTACCCAATACCCGACACCCAAAAATGAATCCAAAATCCGGAAAAGAAGATACAAAATTCCCAGATAAAGTCAAGAAACTTTCGGCACGAGAGAGGGAGGAAACGGTTGGGAGGAAGCAGTTCTAGTCAAACAAAAAAAACGTTGGGAATCAAATGCAAATGCCCATTTCTTCCGGTATTTCGGGTAATTCCGAATAAAATTGAAGATAAAAATTGGATCTTTAGGGAAAGAAAAAAAAAAATTGAAAGTTTTGCGTATGTTTAAAGATAAAGACTGAAGAGTGATTCTCGGATCTTACGAGGCCGGCAAATGCTACTGACCTTTCAGATATCTGAGTTTCAACGACGGGGTATCAACTATCAATATCAGAAAAATTCTTTTAAAGAAAAAGAGAGAAAAAAAATTTTTCTATTCTTTTCAGAAGAAGAAGCGTATCAATGGGGAATTTCTTGAGAGTTGAGAGAGAGACACGGACACCTCGTGAAGAAAAAGGAACATTGTGAGACTGCCAGAATGGTAGAATGGTGATGTCTTGGTAGGGCCCACTCTTAATGCCACGCCAGCAAATTATATATTTTTCCTTTTTGGCTTTTTCGTGATTATTAAGAAAATATACTATAACTATTTTTTCTTTTTTTGAGATAAATAACTATCTTTTCTAAAAACATGAAAATACTATAACTATTGTCACCCAATTTATGTGTATTTGTGGGGTCCATCCACGATATTTATACACTATGAGGCCTGGTTTCATACTCTTAACTTAGTGCTATACTCGTTTTATTTTATGTGTCTGGTTCGATTTGAGTTTGATTGAAAATTTTTTTAATTCAAATTTTCATAATATTAAATTTAGTATTAATATACAAACTTTATATATTTAGAAATTACACTAAAAGTATTATTAAACACAAAAAATTAAATTTACAAATAAGTAAAAAAAATACAAAAAAAAAATAAATAAATCAAACAATAGTTGGTTTGACCAATAAATAGTAAGTAGGACAGATAAAATGAGGTAATTAAAATGTTACTCCATATAAGTTTGACTCCAAAACTCTATGTATGAGTGGTCTATTAATTTTTTTTAGAGTAAATACCCAAAATGGTCCCTCGACTATAGCTAAATTCACAAATTGGTCCTTGACTTTCAATTTCAACCAATTAAGTCCTTAACTTTGTAATTTTGACACGATTTGGTCATCCATCTATTTGACCGTTTGTTTGACCGCGATCTTTGAGGATATATATGTAGTTTCACGTGCAAAGCTCAAGAGAACGCTCTTGGAGGTGACATCGTTGTTTCGGAGAGGGAAGTGCTTCTCCGCTTACTGCTTGGGGATCACGAGCCGGTTCAGCTTAGAGAACGCTCTTGGAGGTGACAGCGACGTTTCGGAGGGGGGAAGTGCTTCTCCGCTTGCTGCTTGGGATCCCGAGCCGGTTCAGCTTGCCTACATCGCTTGGAGTCACGACTTCCTCGAAAAACCACTCCAAGGATTTCGGCGATCTATCTATCAAAAGCTATAATCTCTCCGGCATGGGGTGTTGCGCCGACAGTGGATTCAAATGTAACAGTGCGGTCTAGAAATGCAACCGGAACCTTAAAAAACTGACGATGGACCATGAAATTACATATATATCCTAAAAAAGTGCAGTCAACAAACGGTCAAATAGACAAATGACCAAATTGTGTTAAAATTGCAAAGTTAAGGACTTAATTGATTGAAATTAAAAGTCGAGGACCAATTTGTGGATTTAGCTATAGCCGAGGGACCATTTTGGGTATTTACTCTTTTTTTTTAAATTTATTTTATTGTGGTAATTTATTTACTAAAGTCATAATATGAAATTTACTCAATGCACAATTTCTCGTTATTCAAAAAAATTAAAATAGAGAATATTGTAATTTATGCATTTCACAAATATACCAATTATTAAGGTCACATTTGAAATATTAGTGGTGTAAATGTTAGCTCTCAATTTTTAAAATGTGACATATTTCAAAATGTTTCGAGGACAAGAATGGAGAGTATAGTCTCCACGCAGCCCTGTCCCGTTGTCATCCCTAATTACTACTTTTAGATGGTTTTAATTTATACTTTTAAAATTAAATAAACACTCGGGCCATTGACAACAACCCAATAAAAAATGGGCCAACCCATGTGTATCAGGGTGGAATTAGATCCGGAAATTCGGTCCTAATCCGAATAATTAGACAGGATAATGAGAACATGACAAATACACATGACAGAAATTTTCCTAATTATATGTAATATGGTATGGATTAATTATAAATATTATATTATGGAAAAAAATCATTGAATATTTTTAAATAAATTATTTTGTTGAAAATATTTTTTAAGTAGCAATCAAAATTACTTAAAAAAAATTATCTAAACAGGAAGAAGCCACCGATTGTGTTAACTTGATGACAACAAAACCTTTTTTAGATGTTGAGAAAAACTCGCAGTGATAATCCGAGTATGTGTAAAGTTTTTTTTTTTTTTTTTTTTTTTTTTTTTTTTTTGATGTTGTAAACCTCACCTTATGACCTTAGTCGGCAAAGTACCACAATGACAAATTATCATAGATTGCACATAGCTGATTGGCTCCACAATTTTTATCTCCACCATACGGTCTCCCATCATTGCTGATGTGCACTAATATAATTTTAAAATGTGTCTCGGACATAGTTTAATTGATTGATTAATTTAAAATAATTTGATATCTTAACTTTTCGATGAAAGCTCTTGAGTTTGGAATCTAATCTTTTAAAATATATATGATATGACATTATGAAACTATCAACTAATTTTCACCACATTTCCCACATTACTAAATTCAGTAGAATTAGTAGAGGACTGGTCATTTTCAAATATCACAACCAAACCAAACGACAAAAATGTCCAAAAAAGACCAAACAAATACCATTAGATAAAAAAACAAACAAACAAACAAATATATTATATATATATGTTACTACATAGTTGGATACATGGTTCAAATTTTATCGATGACTAAAAAAAGATATATGAATTTGTCATTATTGTTAACACTAATATACAAACCTAAAAATTATGAGTTGTTCTATATTACAAACACCATGATTATGAAACTGCCAATACAATCATCCGTAATGATGATACCATACTATAGAGATTAGGATATGAGCGGGTTCTCCAAAGCCCCTAGGCCTCAACTCTATCATGCTCAACGAATTGAACTAATCAACTAAAAAATTTGTTGCTCTATTTTGTTCGCAATACACATGAATCACTATGTAAACATCACATTGTCTACTCATCTCTTTCATGCATGCATGCAAACAAGCTAAGTTAGATATGTGAAAATACACATATGATGTTTGTATATATAGAAAGAAAAAAGGATTTGATATTATTGTATCTAAAACGAAAATAATGATGATACTTTTTGATATTGTTGTACCTAAAACGAAAATAATGATGATATTTTAGAATAAATTATGTATTTTTCTTTATGTTTTAACTATTTGATATTATTACAAAAAATCCCATTTTCAATTTTAAGGAAAAACATTAGAGTATGAAATATTGAAAAATTATGCTTAAAACAACAACAATAATAAAAGACACATATATATGAGGTGATGTTATGTTAGGCATTATAAAGACTTCAAAAGTGTGGGTGACAAGTCCATATATATATATATATATATATATATATATATATATATATATATATATAGGCGAGTTCAGGTGCGGCAGTGTCTTACAGTGCGGTGATTTCTTACGGTGCGGCAACACCAATAGTTCAACAAATATGCACTATCAACGTTAGGAAAATACACCACACAAAACAGAGTAAACAGAGCCCTGCATCACCAAACACACACCATTAGGTGTGAGTAAAAACACCATACACTGTTCGGAAATACACCATTGGGGGTGGTGAGTTATATGGTGTATTTTTTTGAGTTTGTTGTGTATTTTGTGATGTTTTATTGCATTTCATTGTGGTGTGTTTTTATTACACTGTTGGTGCATATTGTTAACACTGTTAGTGTATTCTGAAATTTCGCCGCACCGCCGCACAGTAAGACCCCGCCGCATATGAGCGCTCTTCTATATATAATTATATATATATATATCCTAAAACAACCAACCATAATGAATATTATTGGATCATGTGATGTTTTGTCCCAATTTTGTTTCACAAACTATGAAAATGTTCTGCCAACAATTTGCTTATTTGGCAAATCACTTTTGATTTATGAACAATAATGAAATGAAGAAAAATATTGACTTTGCCAAATCCACATAATAGAGAACTCATATATATGGGAAAGGCTCAATATATATATATATATTTGTAGACATTATATATATTGGATTATTATAATAAATAAATTTGATTTTATATAGATTTTAATTACTAGGAATTTGTTAGTTATTTAAAAAAAAATATAAATATTGAGCATATGTTTTTGCGCATTATGCATAGAAAAAAACTAATATATATATGTGTGTGTTGAAATCACCTTTAGAAAATCACTTTCAAACTCCTTTCTCAAAACATAATAATTGATATAAAAAATTCTAGAACTTTTATGGTTATGTTTAGATAAAATTGTACATTTCATTTAAAAAAATATATTATATAATATAACTTTATTAAATGTATAACATTCTTATATATGGTACGGTAAATTTTTCTTAAAATATTTAAGCCAACTAACATTACATAGTTTTTTTTTAATAAATGTTTTCTTGTCTTAATCATTTTAATAAACTATTTTAACATTATATAGTTTGCTTTAAATTAGGTGTGAATTAGTGTGAGGGAAAGTAAGTAATAGCGGGTAGAGTTTGATTTTTATTAAAAAAAATAAAGTAACTATATTTAAAAAATCAATATAATATAATAGTTTAATCCTTTTAAAATGAGTATAAAAATGTTGAAAATAGCAACAAAGAGATGACATATGTTCTCGCTCTCGCTTGCTCATTGTTGTACAACACATGATCAATATTATAAATGTAACGTGCGTATAATGTTGCTATAACTCTAGAGATGTATTGTTATCATAATAAATGAATTGTTTGTCGAACCACTAAACTGTTGCGTTATTCTTTATTTTAATATTTCCAACATCTTTAATCTTGCATAGATTACAATGAACACAATTTAATAGTATGGTCTCTTCGGGAAGAATCTAAAAACTTTGAAAATAACATTGTAAGGGTAATAATTAATAATCAATCAACACATCAACTTATGTTAGATAAAATAGAACAAATGTAGTACAACTTAGGATACGTTTGGAAAGCATAAAAATGACTTCTGAAAATGTTTTTCAAAAAATGCATGACTCATTTTTCGAAAAATATTTTCCTTCCCGTGTTTGGTTGCATTTTGGAAAATATAGGAATGGATGAAAACTGAAGAATCGAAGGCAACCATGTTTTGAGTGTTGGCGGAAAATGACTTACGCCAAAATTTGGCGTAA